GTAACTTCCTCTGTACGTTATTCCTACTCATGTCACTATCCCTAAGCTATAGCTGTTTATGTTGGTAACGATGAAAGGTAACAGAATTATAAAAGTGTATTTGCTTCTGTCTCCAATTCATTTATGTTCAATCATGTTTATATTATGTACTACATGTGTTATGTGAATAAAACAAAGTTTAAACCAACATTCTAAATGTTAATAGATATTAATATTTTTTCTTATTGATTATTTTCAATTTTGAATATCAAATGTGTATTAAAATCAAGGTGTTTGCTGAATACATTGAGATACAGCTGCTGGGTACATCATGCTGGGGCGTTTTCAGTAATTGATGATTAGGCCACCTTTATGAATAAACTTTGACAGCACAAAAAGAACTACGTCACAATTCTTTGCAATGTGATTATTATCTAATTACTTGTTATTGTGTGCTTTTTTCGGGATAAAAACAGGAAGCGTAAATAGGAATTTTAAACATACTTTGTACATGTACATTATGGGACGAAAAGGTCCCCACACGCGCGAAGGTTGGTTTCAATATAATTATAGTCTTCTATCATTATTTCAATAAAACAATGCAACGTTCGATAAAAACCATGATGCATTTGAACATTTTAAAATTAATTACCTCGATCAAGATAAGCGTTTTAATTACAATGTAACAAATACTCGTTGCGGGGAACGCGTTATACATACATACAAAACCTGTCAAAAGTCTGTCCCACATCAGCCTCGCACGTCCTCGGGGTTCTGTCGGCTTGTTTTTGTTAAAATGTATACAAAGTGTACGGTTTCGCTCTTACCATTATCAAAAACTTGAAACATACGTCTTGTATAGAATGTCCAGCCTTGCACATTTTCGGAATTTCAGAATCACAGGCGTGATATTGTAAGCAGCATATTATTGCCCCCAAGTACCTTGTATACATATTAGATACACACACACCATGACATATGCAAAGAGGTCAAGCAATTTTCGATGTACACCAATCGGAAAGTAATTCGTATTGAATGTTCTGCATCAATAAGAGAGGTTAAGTTCGTGATCACATTTCAGAGATACAAAAGAGCCCCTCTATAATAATTTCCCAGCGAATCTCATATGCAATTCAATCTTTCAGGGTCTAATGACGAAATGATATTATTGCAAACAAAAAATGTTTCCTTATTTAGAAAGTAAAGACAGTCCTAACGATAAAATGATATACAGATATACATATATATTAGTCCGAAGCTGTGTCGGGATAAAAGAGAAGAATGTCAATACTACCGTGGCCCTCCGCTGGTGTGGTGATGGGATTGATACAATACAACAACAACCAGGTTTCTACGTCTTCAGAGTGCCGACAACTTAACGTGACCGTCATTCCCTCCGATAGTCCACGGGATGTGCAATGCGCTGATGTGGAGTCCACCACGACCATTTATACAAATATCTATGTAGATAATTTGGACAAAACACCCAGATGATACTTACAGGTGTTTAAAACTGACATTCACAACTATTTTAATAGCCGAATTTTCCCAGCGGGACACGGGCAAACGTGAATGACAGAAATGTCATAGTTTACTTTACTCACACCATTAGTATGCGTAATCTGGTTCGTCGTACTCTACACATTGTTTCTACACCATACTACAGGCTAAGACGAATTATGATTTAGGAATTACAGATATCTCGTTGATCAAACGACTCCGTAATACACAAAAGAAAATGTATCACAATTGCTGCGTGTTATTTCGTGTTTTTCTAACTTCAAAATTAGATCAATTCCATTACTCTTTATATGAGACCGCCTGGTACTGTGCCCTGTGGATCTACAGCTGTGCAACATGAATTAAATATTTTAACAGAAATATTTAGTTGTAAACTGCGAAAAATAAATAGTAGGTTTAAACAATGGGTATTATTACCAAAAAGTATTTTTAGAAATTAAAAACAAGTCAATTTCAGCATATTTCGGATTTTTCATAACAACAGCAATACATCGATTTATGCTGACTATTTCAAACGTTTGTATTTGTTTGTTCGATTTAATTAACTCAATTTGACCGATACTAATGACCACATATTGACCCTACTAATCTTGTGTTAAATGTTGATGGGCAATTACAAGGAAGTGAAAATATTAATTCCAATCAATCGTTTTAGATGTATTGCCACAAACTTGAAACCTCTGCCTTTTATCTTTTAATTAAGGTCATAGGAGTGTATTGCTAAACGGAAATAGGAAGAACATCCCTAGTTGAAAATCCAATATAGGGAGACAGTATCTCAATTTCCGCATATTCTAATGTTTAATATTAAACTGATGAATATTGTATCCTTATTATTGACAGAACAGTGTGTTCTTTCAATATTAAAGTATTGCAAAGAAATCCAGGCATTAATTCAGTTGTTTTTTAATCAATGAGTCACATGTGTCCATTTTTCTGTACTTCAGGAAACCGGCTACCTATTTCAGTACTGTGAAGTTTTTCAAGAACGATAACTCTTGCATGCAATTACTATGTGTATATGGTTTTATTATAAAATGTCAATTTTTAATCGTTTATAGATAATGAATTTTACACAAGTTCAGCATTTATGAAATTGATATACATTAATGCAATACTAATCTATATTAGTATCATTTTTATTGACATTATTTTGCAAAAAAATGTGCTTCATTTTTTTTCAAGCATTCACTCCTTTTTACATAATTTTTCCATTTCAATTATGTAAAAATTCTGACAACCTATATTTTTTGTGGCAGAAAATGTTTTTTACTTCAATGCAATATAACAACAAAATTTGAATAAATTCTACTGAGAAATGGCGACACAATCCAATTACCCTAAAGGGATATTTGTTGTTTTTAAAATGCGTTTTTCAAGATCCATGACTGATTTTTGTTTTATCTTACTTCCAAACTCTATTACAATTATCATTAACAATTTAGCCCTCCTCTTGCAATGAATATTGGATATACACAAAACCAGTAAAATTCACAGCATTCAAAAATTAAAAAAAAGCCGTTTGTTTCTAAATGGCAAACACATAAAAACAGATAACGCAAAATTAATCAAATATAGTAGACAAAAATTGAACAGGCAAATAAAACAGCAGGCAAAGAGAACAGAGTAGGAAACAAGAAAAGGCAAAATAATAAAAGGGTAAGCAAATATTGGTGGGCAAATAAGGACGGCAAATAAAGCAGTGCGGGTAAATATGACAAGGGGGCCAAATAAAACTTGAAAGGCAAATAAACAGAGCTAGCAAATATTACAAAATAGACAAATAAATAGAGTGGGCAAATAAACAGAGTTGGCAAATATAACGGAGTCGGCAAATGTAACAGAGTTGACAAATATAACAGAGTAGGCAAATATAACAGAGTTGGCAAATATTATAAAATTGACAAATAAATAGAGTAGGCAAATAAACAGAATAGGCAAGTATAATAGAATAGGCAAATAAATAGAGTTGGCAAATACTACAGAGTTGGCAAATATTATAAAATAGACAAATAAATAGAGTAGGCAAATACACAGAATAGGCAAATAAACAGAGTTGGCAAATATAACAGAGTTGGCAAATATAGCGGAGTTGGCAAATATTATAAAATAGACAAATAAATATAGTAGGCAAAAAAACAGAATAGGCAAATATAACAGAGTTGGTACATAGAGAAGGACGTAAATGCAGTAGGTCCCCATTGGAATACCGGTATTTAATTAAATATTTGTCCATCCAACATTGATCATATGAACAATATCCCCCTCTAGCATACACTTATTATTGCTGACAATGAAACTTTGTTTCTTTTGGTACTAAAATATGTGTTTCTCTATTAGACAGAAAGGATAGACAAATCAAATTTTTGAAACGTGATAGCAGAATAACAATGTTTTGGAACGGGCAGAATTTATTGCTACGTGTTGAAAATCCTGAAATAAACAGTTTCATTGTTATAAGTGTGTTTCCATGAACAAATATGACTCGATACACGTTATAACGTATTTCCAGTCTTTCCCGTCCTACGCAAGATGTTTTCAGATGTAAAGATCTCTCAAATAATTACTGCCGATCCAACAAGATCAGCGTCGACCAGAACCTGATGCCGTGGAAGCCAGGAATCGAACATGTTGAACAGCACGCCATCTGTCGGTAAGATTATCAACGCAATTCTCACCTAAAATGTGCCGTACAGGTTTAAATTGTAACCACAGCAGGATCAAATAGCCTAACCCTATGTGGGAAAATAAGCGTACAATCACATCAGCACAGCATCTTTACCACGGCTACGTGATAGGACGAGAGATTCACATATCATACACTAAATTGTGCAATCGTGTTACATAACAAATCCAACCAATACTTGTAAGTACGTAGACATGTCTGTCTTACCGAAGCGGGTTCAAGGGTGGTGGAAAATAGAATTACCAAAAAGTGCAGACTAAAAGATATTGCTTTACTGGAGACAATCGTAGTTAAAGAAAAGCCTAACGGGGACAATCAATGCCATATTGGGGACAATCATAGCCATACGGGGACAATCATAGCCATACAAGCACTCATAGCCATATCGGGGACAACCATCATCATATCGGGGACAATCATCGCCATATCGGGGACAATCATAGCCATACGGGACAATCATAGCCATACGGGGCCAATCATAGCCATACGGGACAATCATAGCCATGCGGGGACAATCATAACCATACGGGACAATCATAGCCATACGGGGACAACCATAATCATATCGGGGACAATCATCGCCATATAGGGGACAATCATAGCCATACGGGACAATCATAGCCATACGGGACAAACATAGCCATACGGGGACAATCATAGCCATACGGGGACAATCATAACCATACGGGACAATCATAGCCATACGGGGACAACCATAATCATATCGGGGACAATCATCGCCATATAGGGGACAATCATAGCCATACGGGACAATAATAGCCATACGGGGACAATCATAGCCATACGGGGACAATCATAGCCATACAGGACAATCATAGCCATACGGGACAATCATAGCCATTCGGGGACAATCATACCCATACGGGACAATCATAGCCATACGGGGACAACCATAATCATATCGGGGACAATCATCGCCATATAGGGGACAATCATAGCCATACGGGACAATCATAGCCATACGGGGCCAATCATAGCCATACGGGACAATCATAGCCATACGGGACAAACATAGCCATACGGGGACAATCATAGCCATACGGGGACAATCATACCCATACGGGACAATCATAGCCATACGGGGACAATCATACCCATACGGGACAATCATAGCCATACGGGGACAATCATAACCATACGGGCCAATCATAGCCATACGGGGACAATCATAGCCATACGGGACAATCATAGTCATATGGGGACAATCATAGTCATATCGGGGACAGTTGGAGTTAAACACAGCCATATTTGAGAGAGTTGCATTCAAAACCATACTTACATTGAAGCCGTTGATACAGATATGTTGTCTTTGTTATGGTACACTAAAGTATATTTTTCTACATATGATACGCTATGGTATATTGTCTATATATGATACGCTATGGTATATTTTCTTTATATGATACGCTATGGTATATTGTCTATATATGATACGCTATGGTATATTGTCTATATAAGATACGCTATGGTATATTGTCTATATATGATACGCTATGATATATTGTCTATATATGATACGTCATGGTATATTGTCTATACATGATACGTCATGGTATATTGTCTATATATGATACGCTATGGTATATTGTCTATATATGATACGTCATGGTATATTGTCTATATAAGGTACGCTATGGTATATTGTCTATATATGATACGCTATGCTATATTGTCTATACATGATACGCTATGGTATATTGTCTATATATGATACGCTATGGTATATTGTCTATATATGATACGCTATGGTATATTGTCTATATATGATACGCTATGGTATATTGTCTATATATGATACGCTATGGTATATTGTCTATATATGATACGCTATGGTATATTGTCTATATATGATACGCTATGGTATATTGTCTATATATGATACGCTATGGTATATTGTCTATATATGATACGCTATGGTATATTGTCTATATATGATACGCTATGGTATATTGTCTATATATGATACGCTATGGTATATTGTCTATATATGATACGCTATGGTATATTGTCTATATATGATACGCTATGGTATATTGTCTATATATGATACGCTATGGTATATTGTCTATATATGATACGCTATGGTATATTGTCTATATATGATACGCTATGGTATATTGTCTATATATGATACGCTATGGTATATTGTCTATATATGATACGCTATGGTATATTGTCTATATATGATACGCTATGGTATATTGTCTATATATGATACGCTATGGTATATTGTCTATATATGATACGCTATGGTATATTGTCTATATATGATACGCTATGGTATATTGTCTATATATGATACGCTATGGTATATTGTCTATATATGATACGCTATGGTATATTGTCTATATATGATACGCTATGGTATATTGTCTATATATGATACGCTATGGTATATTGTCTATATATGATACGCTATGGTATATTGTCTATATATGATACGCTATGGTATATTGTCTATATATGATACGCTATGGTATATTGTCTATATATGATACGCTATGGTATATTGTCTATATATGATACGCTATGGTATATTGTCTATATATGATACGCTATGGTATATTGTCTATATATGATACGCTATGGTATATTGTCTATATATGATACGCTATGGTATATTGTCTATATATGATACGCTATGGTATATTGTCTATATATGATACGCTATGGTATATTGTCTATATATGATACGCTATGGTATATTGTCTATATATGATACGCTATGGTATATTGTCTATATATGATACGCTATGGTATATTGTCTATATATGATACGCTATGGTATATTGTCTATATATGATACGCTATGGTATATTGTCTATATATGATACGCTATGGTATATTGTCTATATATGATACGCTATGGTATATTGTCTATATATGATACGCTATGGTATATTGTCTATATATGATACGCTATGGTATATTGTCTATATATGATACGCTATGGTATATTGTCTATATATGATACGCTATGGTATATTGTCTATATATGATACGCTATGGTATATTGTCTATATATGATACGCTATGGTATATTGTCTATATATGATACGCTATGGTATATTGTCTATATATGATACGCTATGGTATATTGTCTATATATGATACGCTATGGTATATTGTCTATATATGATACGCTATGGTATATTGTCTATATATGATACGCTATGGTATATTGTCTATATATGATACGCTATGGTATATTGTCTATATATGATACGCTATGGTATATTGTCTATATATGATACGCTATGGTATATTGTCTATATATGATACGCTATGGTATATTGTCTATATATGATACGCTATGGTATATTGTCTATATATGATACGCTATGGTATATTGTCTATATATGATACGCTATGGTATATTGTCTATATATGATACGCTATGGTATATTGTCTATATATGATACGCTATGGTATATTGTCTATATATGATACGCTATGGTATATTGTCTATATATGATACGCTATGGTATATTGTCTATATATGATACGCTATGGTATATTGTCTATATATGATACGCTATGGTATATTGTCTATATATGATACGCTATGGTATATTGTCTATATATGATACGCTATGGTATATTGTCTATATATGATACGCTATGGTATATTGTCTATATATGATACGCTATGGTATATTGTCTATATATGATACGCTATGGTATATTGTCTATATATGATACGCTATGGTATATTGTCTATATATGATACGCTATGGTATATTGTCTATATATGATACGCTATGGTATATTGTCTATATATGATACGCTATGGTATATTGTCTATATATGATACGCTATGGTATATTGTCTATATATGATACGCTATGGTATATTGTCTATATATGATACGCTATGGTATATTGTCTATATATGATACGCTATGGTATATTGTCTATATATGATACGCTATGGTATATTGTCTATATATGATACGCTATGGTATATTGTCTATATATGATACGCTATGGTATATTGTCTATATATGATACGCTATGGTATATTGTCTATATATGATACGCTATGGTATATTGTCTATATATGATACGCTATGGTATATTGTCTATATATGATACGCTATGGTATATTGTCTATATATGATACGCTATGGTATATTGTCTATATATGATACGCTATGGTATATTGTCTATATATGATACGCTATGGTATATTGTCTATATATGATACGCTATGGTATATTGTCTATATATGATACGCTATGGTATATTGTCTATATATGATACGCTATGGTATATTGTCTATATATGATACGCTATGGTATATTGTCTATATATGATACGCTATGGTATATTGTCTATATATGATACGCTATGGTATATTGTCTATATATGATACGCTATGGTATATTGTCTATATATGATACGCTATGGTATATTGTCTATATATGATACGCTATGGTATATTGTCTATATATGATACGCTATGGTATATTGTCTATATATGATACGCTATGGTATATTGTCTATATATGATACGCTATGGTATATTGTCTATATATGATACGCTATGGTATATTGTCTATATATGATACGCTATGGTATATTGTCTATATATGATACGCTATGGTATATTGTCTATATATGATACGCTATGGTATATTGTCTATATATGATACGCTATGGTATATTGTCTATATATGATACGCTATGGTATATTGTCTATATATGATACGCTATGGTATATTGTCTATATATGATACGCTATGGTATATTGTCTATATATGATACGCTATGGTATATTGTCTATATATGATACGCTATGGTATATTGTCTATATATGATACGCTATGGTATATTGTCTATATATGATACGCTATGGTATATTGTCTATATATGATACGCTATGGTATATTGTCTATATATGATACGCTATGGTATATTGTCTATATATGATACGCTATGGTATATTGTCTATATATGATACGCTATGGTATATTGTCTATATATGATACGCTATGGTATATTGTCTATATATGATACGCTATGGTATATTGTCTATATATGATACGCTATGGTATATTGTCTATATATGATACGCTATGGTATATTGTCTATATATGATACGCTATGGTATATTGTCTATATATGATACGCTATGGTATATTGTCTATATATGATACGCTATGGTATATTGTCTATATATGATACGCTATGGTATATTGTCTATATATGATACGCTATGGTATATTGTCTATATATGATACGCTATGGTATATTGTCTATATATGATACGCTATGGTATATTGTCTATATATGATACGCTATGGTATATTGTCTATATATGATACGCTATGGTATATTGTCTATATATGATACGCTATGGTATATTGTCTATATATGATACGCTATGGTATATTGTCTATATATGATACGCTATGGTATATTGTCTATATATGATACGCTATGGTATATTGTCTATATATGATACGCTATGGTATATTGTCTATATATGATACGCTATGGTATATTGTCTATATATGATACGCTATGGTATATTGTCTATATATGATACGCTATGGTATATTGTCTATATATGATACGCTATGGTATATTGTCTATATATGATACGCTATGGTATATTGTCTATATATGATACGCTATGGTATATTGTCTATATATGATACGCTATGGTATATTGTCTATATATGATACGCTATGGTATATTGTCTATATATGATACGCTATGGTATATTGTCTATATATGATACGCTATGGTATATTGTCTATATATGATACGCTATGGTATATTGTCTATATATGATACGCTATGGTATATTGTCTATATATGATACGCTATGGTATATTGTCTATATATGATACGCTATGGTATATTGTCTATATATGATACGCTATGGTATATTGTCTATATATGATACGCTATGGTATATTGTCTATATATGATACGCTATGGTATATTGTCTATATATGATACGCTATGGTATATTGTCTATATATGATACGCTATGGTATATTGTCTATATATGATACGCTATGGTATATTGTCTATATATGATACGCTATGGTATGTTGTCTATATATGATACGCTATGGTATATTGTCTATATACGATACGCTATGGTATATTGTCTATATATGATACGCTATGGTATATTGTCTATATATGATATGCTATGGTATATTGTATATATAAGATACGTCATGGTATTGTCTATATATGATATGCAACGGTATATTGTTTATATATGAT